ATATATATATATATATATATATATATATATGTAAAACAGTTTCTAAAGGTAAAGTATACAGTTTATACAGGTTTAACATAAACAGTAAACAATCAAGAGTATTAAACAATTATTTATTTTAAAATGAAGTAGGGATCCTTCTACAAAAAGTACTGAAACAAGAATTGAAACCACAATCACAAATTTATAAAATTTAATCCTTACTTTGGCAGCTTTATACACTTATCTGTAGGTCAAAGTAAGGATTAAATTTTATGAATTTGTGATTGTGGTTTTAATTCTTGATTTAATACTTTTGTAGCAAGATCCCTACTTCATTTTAAAATTAATAATTTTGGATACTCTTGTATACTATGAGAGAGTGAGATATGTAGTATATGATAATACAAACCCTTCTCCCTTATCATAGGGTGTCCTCAAGTAAACTTTAATTCTAATACTCTTTTAAAATTCACAGTTTTATTCAATGAAAGCATATGAATATTGAAACCTTCTGTTAAGCTGGACACAAATGCAACAGGACAGTATGGGATGCTCATCAGGGTAACTCATACACATGACTTGTAGATATGAAAAATTTCCTCATCTAACACTGCTAAATAAATAGATAACAAGAAAAATCATTTGAAATATAAAAACTCTTTATAAAATGAACTCTTATACAAATGATATGTGTGTGTGTGTGTATATATATGTATGGTAAGTTAATCCTTTATTTACCATGCATCAAAATAATAGAATTAAGTGCAATACAAAAATACAGAGCCCAAAACACAAGATTAATCCTCTTTAAAAACGAAAACAAAGAAAAACTCACTAAAATATTTATATACAATAAAATAAATTGAAAATAAAAGCAAAGAAACATAGATCATGAGGTCTACAAATAAAAAAAGGTAGGAAACATATAACATATACAAAGGTAAGCCTAACTCTACAGTGTGCAAAATAATGCAACCAGCAAATTAAATGCAGTAATCTATTTTTTAATAAACAACTTTAAACTAAACAGACAGTTAAACAATGTCAGAAAACTTGAAAAAATGTCAAAATTTAGTGAAAATGTTTCTTTTGTTTCAGATATTTACACAGATATTCAGTAGGCCTCTCAGCACTAGGCATCACTAATTTTGTACTGATAGACTAGAGGGAATGCAGCTTGTAGGCAGTACCCACCACTAACTCTTGGTTTACTAGAAGCAAATAGTGGAATTTGACCATCACACTTATAATGCATCCACCCTAAAGCATGGAGGAAGATATTTTTTGTGGCAGTGAGGTGTCAAACATGGACCTTCAGATTTACAATCTGGCACACTAACCACTAGGACACACCAAGCCCAAATGAAAGTGGAATTAAATTCAGTAAAATATTAAACCCTTTAAAACTATTATAAAATCCCCTAAGTAAAGGCTTTGAAATGTACATAATTAGAAAATTGAAAATACCATTTAATTATAGAACGCAAAACCATTAATACAGTGTATAAATATATATATATACACACAAAACTTTAGTTTGTATGTATACATTCATCACAGAAAGGAGTAGAAATTAAACAAAGGATAAAATCATCAAATTACAATAATGATAAAAAGAAAATCATGAGATCAGTCAAAATACATAATCTATGTGGATATACATATATAGAAAGCAACTAAGTAATGTCAAAAGAGTTAATATATAAATATAAACAGTTTACATATTTAGAGACAAGAGCTCCATTGGATCAATTTGAGGTACCCCTAGTGGCTCAGCAATTAGTGTGAAGGATTATAATACTAAAAATTAGGGTTTGATGCTCATGATAGACAGAGCACAGATTGTTCAATTGCTTCAGTCCCTTTCCTTACATCAGTCATCATCTTGGAGTGTGAACTACCAGGCTGCTGTCCTCTAGAAAGTCTTAATCTGACAGTACTACATACAACTTTTATATCATGGGAACAAGAACAGTTGGTTGGTGAACATGTCCCCACCACTGTAACTTGGTTTTAGGAACTTCTAAGGGATCTATCCAGTGTAGGGCTATAGGAGCACTGAATGTTGGCTTGCATAGTGGGTCACAGCATAACCATGGTTGGTAATTCTTTCTCTGCAACTTTCTCTTGAGGTGTGTTGATTTGCAGTAATTTTGCAGTGTGTGGATGGAGCTTGAAGCTTTTTAATCCCTACTGAAATGCTTGAAAGCACTAATCATTCAGTATAGGGTTCTCTGAGTCAACTGAGGATCTTCTGGTATAAACCTTCAGATCAGTTTGGCTTTCATTCATCTCTCTACTACAGTTATTGCCAGAATGCCATACATTTGGCCTGTATCTGTAATAGTTAATGCTATTTATTAAGAATTAAAATAACACCTGATAATTTGTTACGATGTGTCAAATAACATGTAAACTGAAAAAACTTGTAGGTCAAGTAACTAATGTGTGGTACATAATGTTCTTTGTGATACTGTGGATATTGTTAAATCATCATTTTGAAATGATGATCTGTTTTAGATTATATTCATAGCCTCATTGTGGTTTTTTACTGAGTATAAATTACTGTAAGTTTATTAAGTAAGGAAATTATTAAGGTTATTGTTAATGAAATAAACGTTAGAGTATGCGGACAAAATGTAATATATATTACTCATAATTTGAAAACCTTTAAAAGTTCAAAGCATTACAAGTTTGAGTTTTATGTACTTTTTTTTTCTTTTAGGTTTCTGGGTTTTAGCTGCAAGCTTTGTTTATGTTGAGAATCACACTCTTGGAAATGTTTATAACAAGAACTATAAAAACTATTGGGATGAGTTGATAAACACAGAAAATCTCTTGAACAAGTGTTTTTCTAACAATATGGAAAGATTCCACTTTGTATATCATGTGAGAAAGCTTTCTTGGGACACGTACGTAAAATATTAATAATTGTCATCAGTGTTTTAATTTTGAAAAGTCAGTTTTACTTTATACATTGTAAGGCATAAGTATGTTTAAAAGTATTTCATAAGATTTACAGATAGAGGCAAATTGGAATAAGATGCTCCTGTGCAGTAAAACTTGCTTTGTTGTTTGCTTTACTTAGTGCTTATGACTGTTGGTGTCATAAGAAGATGTAACTTTTTTTTTCCTTGGTAAGGGGGATAGCTTCTGTGCTATATTTGTGCAGGGTTTTAGAAATACCATCTACCCATCATTTTCTTGCCCTCCCTCTTATTCTGTTTCCTGAGAGTTGGTTATTGTAGCTCTTAATACTGGTTGTTTTTGGACCACACATGTTAGGTGGCTAGACCATCTGATTGTTTGCTTTTCTACATAGAGCTGGCTCTACTCTGACCACACCTGTGATGACTTCATTCCTGATTTCATTCTTTCATGTTTTGTTTAATGCTCTGTATAGGCATCTCATTTCATATGTGATCTTTTGTTCATTTATTTTACTTATGGTCCATGTCTGGCATTGGTAACAAAGGATTGGAGTAAGGATTGCATTTATGTTTAGTGTCTATTAACATTATGTGAAGAGTGGGGCCAATATTGTTAACATTGTTTGGTTTCCATCTTTCATGAAGATACTGTCAATGTCCTTGACCTCTTTCCTTTGTTTAAGGTTTGGTAGATTAGTGAACATCAGTGTTTTTAATGTTGCTGTACTGATTTTCATTCCATATTC